TGATTATTTGATGATACATAAGTATAAAGAGATAGTAAAGAATAAGTATAGCAAAATACAAGTTCTTAGCTCTTTTATATTCAGCTTGATGTCTGTATATCTTACTATTTGGAGGATACACAGCATTTTTAGCGGATGGGATTTATGTCCAAAGCATACAAAGTGCGCATACAAAGATTGGATTCGGTGCATTAAATGCAATAAATGCATTACATGAAATATCTATTTCATGTCATGACACTGTAATATGTGTATGTAAAAAATTGTAATTATTATTTACTATTTCATATACACACTTTCATTCTTATTCCTTAATAAAATTTTGTAAACACATTTTATAAGTTATTGTATTATTTTACATCTTATTTATAAGCATTATTTGTAAATTTACGTTTTATTTATAAGCATTATTTGTAAATTTTTTATTAGCCGAACATCCCACTCCCTCCTATGAATAAATTTTTTATTAACCATACATCCCACTTCTACAGCATATACAACAAAAGATTTCGAAGTTTTTTTTTTAACGAAAAATAAATTTCAAATTTCTCTTATTTTTTTATAGTAATAGACAGTACAAAGTTTTTTACTGGTCTAATTTACATTTACGTTAAACATGATAATAATACTTAATTAAATTAAATTTTTGTTAAGTACGGCGTATAATGAAGTTACCCTATATGTTTGAAATTTGCAAATTCGAAACCGAGAAGGAAAGTTCACAGTGCAGAAATAAAAAATCTATCGATGAAAAACATTCGAGAGTCTAGATTCTTTTAGCTGAACTTCTTAGGGTCGATTCAGTAATATTCAGCATTTTGAAACAAAATGAAAAATGATGAAAATGAGCATCACTAAATGTTGACCAATGAAATTATAAATATTTAATAAATTCAATCACTATATAGATATAATGCTGTTCATCTTTTCTCTTTTTCATATTTTTAATTAAAAAGAACAGATCATGAGTCTCGCTTTCTGGATATTTTGGAGAGAGAACAATGCTGAGCATTGAACCGCGATTCGCGTTGCAAACGTAACTTATCCGAACGATCAGAGACTACCGGAAGAAAGAGATATTCTAATAATCTGTCCCACACCTCGTCGTCGAGTTTAACAAAGGCGAGAGAACTCGCGCCGCGCGCGTCTCATATTTAGGATCGCGAGTGCAAACCTTCCGATTCTCAATCTTGGATAACTGCGTGCACGTATGTATTGTATGTATACGCACGATTCTCCAAACAGAGGACTACCCGAGTACGCAAGCGTGATTGTCACGAGCAAGAACGTGTCGTCCCATTCCGTGACAAATCACATTTCGTTTCCATACAAAAATGATTCTTACGGGGAACGTGATGATCAACGAAAGATTTTGTTTTTTTTTTTTCGCCTTTTCACAAGACTCGTGATATCGAGTTCATCTCTCGAAATCCTATTGTTGTGTATCTTGAAATAAGGTGAAAATTACAAAAGTGAGCAAATTCATTATAATTATTATTTATAATTTTATTGGGTCTGTTTTATTTTCGCACTATAAATTACACTAAATTTTCTTCTTCACTTTTGCCAAATATTAAATGTGTATCTACAGTGAGAATATTAATTAATATAACATTATAGGACCGTACATATGATAACACAAACTATAGAAATGAAAGCCTTGAAAGGTCTAGCTGGATCTTAAATATTAATTAGCAATTTTATACAATGAATATATTCTGTTCTAATAAACGAGCTTCGCATGTATTTTTAACTTTAGAAGATAAATTTCCGATTGTAAGAATACTTTTTAAACATTCAAATATATTTTCGCTTATTTTTCAGATACATTTTCTATAATACACATCTCATATATAATTTTAAAGAAACAGTCTGTTTTATTCTTTATGAATAAATTTAAAAGTTAATTACCCAACAAAAAATGATGGTCAATTAAACATCGAATTGAAATCATCGTATCCGTTTTGTAACATTAATTCGATGACTCATTTCTTGTTGGATAATATTTACTTTTTAAAAATAAAATTTTTTTTAAAAATATTTTCTCTGTACGAATATTTTTTGCATTCACTGTATTTTACTTTAAATTCTAAAAATGTATACCATTTCTGCTACAAAAAAGAGATCTCTTCACTTTAACAGAAAAAGCAGCTTTGCGACTGTTGTAAAATTTTGTAATATGATTGATTTTGTCTTTGGTTCCTTACTGGATCTAAATATGTGAATTAATTATATTAAAGAATCTTGCAAAGCTATTTTTTCTGCTGAATGCAATCAACACCTGCAAAATCTGCTTACATTTGTAATTTTCATCTCGTTTGAGCTTTTTTCACACATATTATGGAATTATTCAGAATGAATTCCAATCCGAAATTATTCAATTATTCCTTGGATTTCTATTGTGTTTTCTAGGGAAAACGAAATAATTTCGATTAGAATCCATTTTCGACTTATTTCATAATAGATCTATTTTTTATTCATGCATTAGAACTTTCTTTCTCGTTTTCACCATATATAAAAAATATATCTATTTCACTTTAAAGCCTGCGGCAGAAGATACGTGTTTTCCTGCTAGATTACTTGTATTTTGGTAAATTACTAAAAATTCTACAGGTCTGTAGATCTTTGTGTTATTTAAAATCCTCAACACTTTTTGCACTAAGAGATAAATATACATTGAAAAGAAAAAAAAATTGAAAATGCTGAGTACAAAAAGTACAAGTAATCCAAACAGACCTTACGTTTTGTGTGATGCAATTCCAGTAATTTACTAAATAACACAAGCGTATTGCATTGTATGTCACAGGCTTAAGTTCTAAAAGTGTATACTAGTTTAACTACGCAAAAGACCTACAATCGACCCTCTCTGTTGATCAAGATGAAACACGTGCTTTTTTTTTTGTTTCTTTGTTTCCACTCCGTTTTTACTCACAAAATTGTCGGCAGAAGAGAGAGAGAGAGAGAAAACGAACGAAAAGGAGCGGAAAGGAGAGCTATTTCTGGGAAGCCGCGTGGCACCTTCCGGCCTTCATACGCCCCTGGGCTGGTCGTGCTTTCAGTGTAATGGCGGCGGCCATGCTGGGAAGAGCGCGCCGCGCCCGCTCGTCGCAGTAGCTTTCAAAAACCGGGACTCGTCATATCTACCGACGACGACGACGCCGACAACGACGACGACGTCGTTGTTGTTGTTGTTACTGTACCTCCGTGAAAGGCGACGACGCCATCCGTGTGCTTAGTCCGGCAGCACTGTCCACGGGCCCTGGGATGCGCGACGTTCGTTCGTTCGTTCGTGTGTTGAAAGAAAAGCGGCAGTGCACTGTGCAACCGTAAAGTCGAGCCGAGTCGCGAAAGTGCGATCTCGAAGCGAGCAAGTGAGGCCCGGCCGTCCGTGTGTCCTCTAAAAATATAAATTTCGTGCCGGTGTTGCATAGTGGATTTTTTCCTCCATTATCTTCCGTTGTAAGTTACTCTGATATCGCTCTGTCTCTCTTTCTCTCTCTTTCTTTCTCTTTCTCTCTCTCTCTCTCTCTCTCTCTCCGTTCCTCGGAGTTCACGTCTTAATTAGCTAATCACTAGAGCGTTATCGATCTCACAAATGGCCCACGGATCGGACTCCGCGGTTTCCATAACGTTCATCCGACTCTGCGATCGCCGAATTGCTACGTAAATCCATTCGTCGATCGTTCACTGTCCTCGTCGCTCTTACGCTCGCGACACCCCGTATAAGAAATTGGGACTCCGTGACGATTCTCGTCATGTCATTGAACGTTCGCGAGTTCGCCGAACCAACGTTGTATCGTTATCCTGAGATCTCCCCTTACCTCCCTTGTAACGCTCGTCATCCCGCTCTCACCCCACGTCCGTGTGCGTTCTCGATTTTTCTATCCACGTTACTCGTCTCCTTTTTTTACGAACACTATCGAATTTCTTGTGCATCAAAAAAAAAACTCAATTCGACGTCTCAGAGCTTCCGAAAATGCGTCCGCTTTCTCACACCCGGTATATAACCACGTTGGATAAAATCTGGATTTTTTTTCGTTAACGTGACGATAACGTGGTGGCGCGGTATCTCGACACATTTTACTTTTTATATTGCCGCATACGCAGCTGTGTATGTCGCACACGAAATCCGTTTCGTCTGCTTACATGCAAGTTGATTTGGTTATGTCGGCATATTAATGGGGTGGAGGTCTTAAGGTGCAAAGTAGACTGAATTACTTGAGATTGAATGTTTACCTAGCGTTTTAGAAACAGTAAACACTATACACATATGTGTGTGTAAGAAATATATATAGGGTACGAAACTGGGAATCAGAGAAATGTCGGAAAATCGATAACGGTTGAGAAAATTAGGGAAAGGTTGGAATTTGCGAGAAAATTAAAATTCTTGGTTTTAAAAAAAGTTCAATATGCGTATATCACACTTATGCAGTTTTGGAATACCAATAACTTAACAATTAAATGCAAGCAATGTCAGCAATATTAATAGTAACTTACATCATTATGTTAAATTGCTCTCTCAATAAAATATTCGGTTTTCAAATTAAAACAAATACAAAGAAATTCAAAATGTTACTAAAAGTGTTGCACAAAGTCATGAAATTTTGTTTGGAAATTAGGAAAAAGTTATAGAATTTTAGAATTTTGTGATAATCCTGATATATATAATGCAATGTGGTTGTTGTAAGCCTTACACAAATCCAATAAGAGAAACCTTAAATTCTCTATCTGCCAATACATCTATATTACTATTCAACTTGCATACGAACCGACTCCTATCTCAAAACTTTTAACTTTGTGTATATATTTGTTACAATATATTTTCTATTAAGAGCATAGATGTTTAATATTATAAGAGAAAATCCTAGGAGAGATCAATTTATTTAATTTTTATTTAAAAGATACTTATAGATAAGTTAGGGAAAATATAGTCAATACAATGCAGTCTCTCTGCAATTTGGCATAGATGATGTAATTTTTTCAATTGTTCTTATTTTTAGGAAGAATCGACGACCCTGTCTATGCTAAATGATAAACAATTACGCGCTTTACTGGATGAAGCTATAACATACAAGCGTCCAAAAGATCGGGAAGGAAGGTCTAAGATTTTTAATGTATGTACTTTGAAATTACTTTGTGAAAGTTACATATAAAAATGCTATACGTTGACAGTAAGATGTATATAAAATGATGTATTTTATAGGAACTTTTGTTAGAAGCAGAAGCGGATGAGACTGAAGAAGGCGGTAGAGTGATATCTAATTCACGCTGTTTTTCGGGCTCAAATCGTAAAAAAGAGAAGCAAGGGTATTATGTGTCCGATTCAAATTTGCATTTCATATCATTAAGACGTTCGGAATTTGATACTTACGGAAAGGATAGGAACAAGAACAAAAAGCAAAATCCGGGACCCAGTGTCTCTGCTAGACAGAGAGAAGGTGGATCGTTACCATCAAATGTAAATGCATCGCATAACCTTGCTCCTTTGGCTAATTTAGATCTAATATTTGATAAAAAGGTATTTATTATTGAATATTAATATGAACTTAATGATATTCATAAATATAAATCTGTTTTACTAGCGGTTAATAAATTATATCTAATATATATTTAAAAAATATTTTTATGATGATTATGAGATTGTAACAGTGAAAATTTACGTACATAAACAACATATTTTCTTATCTGTTTATAAAGAAGAGCTTCTGTGAGGAACGGCCAGCTTATGATTGGACCAATAAGGAAAAATCCAAATCTTTAGATAAACCGTCATATACTAGTACAAAGAAAGAAGAAAAAGAGAAAGAAAAAAAAGAACTGAAAAGAGACACTGCTAATAGTTCAGACGAGGCAGAGTCCGAAACACGAGAGAAACAAGTTAGCAAAGGAAAATTCGGAACAAATGAGATGCTGGAATCAGATAATCCACCTCCTGAATATAAATCGGATTACATGGTCATCGACTTGGGCGATGTTGAGGTAAGGTATCATTTGTGCTAATTGATCTCAATCCATAGCCTCTTAGAGGAGGAGTGAGTCTTTCTGCATATTCTGTAGTGTGTATCTTTTTATAGTTTTATGCATACATGGATACATGGAATCTATAGTTTAATATCGGTTCCTAATGACTTATTTTAATATCAAGAAAGATTATTTCCTATTTTTATAAAAGTGTTTTAAATAAGTGTTTTGGTGAAGATAAAATATATGATATTTAAGAGATACTACTTTTTATCTATTTTAGGTAGGTGCTATTAGTGAAAGAAATGTGGGGTCTACTGCGAGTGGGATTCAGAGGCCTCGCTCGTTAGACACTGAAAATGACGAAGGGACTGAATTGAAAATTATTGAACCGCGCAAATCAATCCAACAATATGTCACACGGGCATCTTTCGATATAGTAGGACAGACATCTGTGGACACCACTATAGAGTTTCCTATACGTGATCATAAGCAAGAGAAATCAAAAATGTCTGTTAATGGTACAGAGGTGACTGGGGCATTGTTTCAACCACACAACAGTGTAAAATGTATAGGTGGGGCTTCAAATGGTTCCAGTACTAGCCAAAGCAAAATCGTACCCAGTTTATGCTCCGTGATGCCAGCGTCTTGGCAAACGCAGAATATAACAATGGGTAAAAATAACGCTTTAATTGTATGTATACATATTATATGTGATGTCTGTTGTATTAAACTTTTGAAAGATTTTTCTATGAATATTTAAGAAAATTTATTTACTTGCATTATCCAAATCTCAAAATTAATAAAATTATTTATTAATAAAATATATGATTTGTGCACAGAAGGTCCAAGGTATACAACGCAGCACATCACGATGAAGGATCCATCCGTGTCGGGAGAAAAGAAATCATTGGATGAAAACGGAAACGCTGTACAGCCCTATAATGGTGAACGGAAGAAGCCCAGAAGGAAACATACTCAGGAACACAATGTCAAAGTTTATAATGCCGAAAATGTCGAAGGCCATCGTAATGAGGATATCGACAGTCTAATTAACTTCATTGAGAATAAAGAATCCAAGAGCAAAAAAGGAAAGACTGGTAATCCCGTTAGAGTGAAAACTAGTTCTGGTACAAAACCGAGAACCAGAGAGAAGGATACAAAGAGAGAACAATTGCCTTCCAAGTTAAAGAAGTCTAATTCCTTAGAAGAAATCTCGAAGACAAAATTAGAGGATCTCACGACGGAAAAGAGTCCCAGTTCCAGTGGTGCCAGCAGCGTATCCAGTCAACATGGTATCATTTATTTATGTATATATAAAGCTTTAAGCATTATATATTTATATCTCTTTCTTAATATACTTTTAATCTTTATAATGATAGGAGTAAATATAGCACTGCGACGTCCAAAACAAAGGAGCACCGGAGATGCGACAGTTGATAGTCGAGGCGACAGACGATCCTGGGGGACAGAGGAAGGTCAATCGATATATTGCAACGATACAGGGGAGGATTACATGAGTCGTCGTAATTCAAATAAAAAGATTAATCCGGAACCGGAACATGAGACGGAGTTTCTGGTAGTTACGAAAAAGAAAAAGAGCAAAAAACAAAGAAGAAGCTCCAGTGGCAGTAGGGCACAAAACCTAACAACATCGGGATCGTATCTCCAAAATTCCAGAGGATTCTCTAACGACTACAGGACACCTCTTTCTCCTGAACTTCGAAGAAAATCAGCTAGTAGTATGCCTCCAAGGTAATTAAATAATTGTTTATACGTAACAAATAATTCGACTAGATCTGTCCAAAACTTAGCTCGCGAGCAAAACGCTTCATTCTTTCCATCATTGAGATAGAAAATAAAAAAGGATAATGCTAGAGTTCTACTCAATGATTGTTTTTTTTTATCCTTTTTTGTTTCCTGTTTATCTCGCTCAATAAGATAATGGAGAGATGGTAGTGTTTAGCTAAATTGTGGACAGACCTAGATTAGACACTTAATTCGAAGATTTTAATGTTTATATACATTGTAATTTCTTGCAGCGACAAGTCGGCGGATAGTAGCGATTTGGATTCAGTCCATTCGTTGCCGGTTACATCGAATACCTCGAAGCATAATTTGTCTAAAGTTGCAACATCGTCAGGCGGCACTCCGCAAGCGAGTTACGCTGATATAGCACGCATGGCTACTATTAACATGCCACATAATCTGACAATGTCCGCTATGCTAAATACGTCGTCGTGGCCCAGTGTTCCGCCTAAGACTTTTTCGGAACCGGATAAAGTGCCTCAAGATTATTATCCAAGTTTAGATGAATTGCAGCATCCGGAGAGAAAAGCGAGACAGCAACAGACACAATCGAACCATGCAGCAGCAAGTTTAAGTTTGGCTTTCGAAAAACCACTTTCGCCGACTCTGACGAAAATGAAAAATTCGTCAGATAGAAAGAAAGCCGAAGCTCAGGAAGAGGCCATCAATAAGAACATCCAAGTCTTTAAATATGTGCAAGATATTGAGAAAATGCATGAAAGCCTAACGCAAGCAACAGATCACAAGGAACAGAAGAACGTGACTTCTAACAATTACAGCTCGAATTCAAACGAGACTATCGCGACAAACGCCGTAACACCAAGATATAATAATAATAGTACAATGATGAATTATAATCCAGTCGATACTGATAACAATCCTAATTGTACTGTCAACAATAAAGATTCTGTTACGCTTCCGAGAGCTAATAATCCTCGCTCTCGTAGGAATTACGTACACAGTAATCAAAATGTACAAACTCAGGGATCGCATGAAGAGCAACACATTAAAAAGCCCGGGTCTTCTTATAATGAGGAGACAATTAAAAAATCGCATAATATCGACATCTCGCAGTCCGAAAACAAGGCTAATCCAATAATCGTGCCACATGACTGCGCGGATGCGCAAAAGTTGAAGACTGCGAAACCTATGCAGGACTCGCAGAGCGGTGAGCCCGAATCTAGCAACAAGATGACCGGCGGTGATTCGAGGTCAGCGAGGGTCACGAAAGAATATCAGAATACCGCGATGAAACACGATGCGACAAAAGTGGGAGTTTGTCAATCGCAAAACTCGAAGCAAGACAATCAACAGCGCGATGAGACGGAAAACAAGAAGACAAAGTCACACAACATGCAGCCCGATAAAGATCAATCGCAAAGACCATCCGTGGAAACGCAACAGATAAAGAATTTGACTCCTAGACCCGCAGTGATCCTTTTGGACGAGACATCCTCTGACATCGCGAAAAACAACAATCTGCCGACGGAACTCACGTTTGGTTTCGAAATAAACGAGTTGTTGCTTTCGGAAGATAACGGCAACGAGGAAACCCCGACGATCGTGGCGAATCCTGTTTTTTCCCCGACCGTACCGTCGCCCAACAATTTCGAGAGGAATCCGCCATTGTTTACCGAGAAACCTGTGAGATACGACAAGTTCTCGAATTATCACATGCAACAACCAAACGCTCACGTGACACCGGCGAACACTCATCCCGTGCATCCAGTTATGGTACAATCGTTGCCGTACATGGGCTATCCTACAAGATTTGCGCCACCTACATATCTGCCACCACCGCCTCCACCGCCACCCGGAATCATGGAGAAGTTTCATCCACCTAAGGAAGATTTCTCGATGCTTTACGTAGCACCCGAGGAAGAGTTGAATGTGCAGACGTACAATCATGATAAGATCGTGTCGTTTGTTGGCTTAGGTAAGACATCATAGCGTTTCTTTGTCATCTTAAACTGAGGTATTCATTGTTTTATTCTTGCTTATTCTTTGTACTTATTCTACTCTTGTTTCTTTTTTTTTGTCAATAGCATGGGATGCTGTCATGAAAGAAATGCCAGTGACAACCGGTCGTATACAGTTCTATAGCGGACAGTGAAGTGAGAAAGTTCGCCGTGTCGAAGGAAATAGACAATGACAGTAACTTTTGTACTGGTAACCACTTCCATTGCAAATAGTTAGTTCGATGAGTCTCGATCACGTTGATACGCGAGATCAAGTACTTGTATGTGTTGCGTGCACGGTTGCTCCTCTCGAGACGTAAAGTTCGTTCAGAGGATTGTCTGTCTTACTTTGAGTCAAACGCGCAAGATTGATGGAGCCGAGTGGTGCAAAGTGTGCCTCAAGAGATAATAATAGCAATGTACATATATAACCAGTTGACAGAATATAGAAGGATAAAGTATATATTCCAGCAATGTACATTGTACTTGCATAAATTTCCAACGATTGTGACAGTGTCGCAGAACTTCAGTATTGACAATTAAAAACTTTTGGTCGAAAAATATCTCTCTTAAAAGATGGAGAAAGAGAGAGAAAAAGAGATGTATCCTATTTCTTTGAATAAAGGGAACTTCCAGCGTACAAGTCACGCGTGTATATACGTTAGACATCTCTATAAATTTCGAAGATCGTCTTGGTTTATATGAGTGTACGATTTTAAAAAGTGCTTAAAAGATAATGCTACAAAGACTTGTAACAACCAGATCTACCATAAAGCGAGTCTTAAATGGGAAAAGTCGAAACAGCATCAACAGTAATATCTCCTGGTGCCTTTAGAGCTGCGAATCTTCAGGCGAATCAATGGGGAAGTATCGAAGAAACCTGCACTAATCACATCGAGAAATCTATGAGAAGTACCGTAAAACATCTGTAAGTAAATTCGAATTGATAATTTCGAACTCGTAAACTGATGAAACGATTTAAGATGAGACGATCTTATAATCTTAAATCGATCATCATGGAAGATCAGCAATGATCGGTGAGTCGAAATATGATGGAAGTCAAAATGTATACACAGTTAACGTACTTTACTCGATAAATGCAAATTAAGATGTGCGGACTGTAAATCAGAAAAATGTAAATGCGTGGTTGTGTAATATATTGAGATAATGTGGTTGACTTAGAACTCAGAGTGGCTACTTCTTCCAGTTGTGGAGCATTCGATAATTTAAAATAGTAAGGGAAAAAAAGGTCACTAACTGGGTTTCGAAAATGTCAAAGTAAGCTCAAAGTCTGGTCAAATGTCTGTGAAGATAGAATGCTGAATATTCGAAAAACATTAAATTTTTACACAGACTTGCTTATTTAATAAAAAAAAAGTAACTGATAATTATTCGTAATGATAATTATAAGAAAATGCTTGTGATCGATAAAAATAGTGTGAATGGCGTGTGTAATTCGTGTGTCGGATGATCATAAAAGTGAGATTGCTGTTCGATTGCAGAGAAAGGCATTGTCCCGGGAAGATAATTCGTGTGCGCTATCTTAATGTGTATCGTTTGCTCATTAAATGTAACTCGACTTTCATCAAAGCTCTATACGCGAGATACGTTCCCAGTTCCTAAGCTTTCGTTTCGTCGAATGTATCTTACCAACGAACGACGATTTTTGAAACGCGCGAAGGTTCTCTTGCATTTTCTTCTTTATTTTCCGAGGCATTAATTTACAGGCGTAAGAAGAAAATGTGACCACGTTATTATTTCGATGAAACACGTAAGTGAAAGCAATGTACGCTCTGTAATATAACATGTATGTATATACGGAAATATATATACGAGTGGAACTTTTAAATTAATTGAAGATAAAAAGAAAAGATATATAAGTTGTATCTTAAATTCGTATGCCTGTAAATATCTAAAAAAAATTGAGCCTAAAAACAATAATGCATATAATTGCCGCTTTTAACTACTGTAATTGTACGGTTTTTAAATGTAAGTTTATGAGTTCTGTAACCTCAGGAAAGTACACTGTAGGTTCAGGATATCATATTCCAAATTAATCCCTTTGCGTTTGAATTAACTTTTAGTTACATCTTTCAACTCGTTTCACGACGCTGTCTCCCATCGTCGGGGCACGAAAATACATTCTAATAATCTTAAATGATTTAATTATTAACATTGTTATAAAATCGCGAAAACGTGTCATTCTAAAATCTTCGTACAGCAGTCTCATACATCTGTGTGAAGAATAGAATGAGTGAATGAGTGCGAATCGTAGAAACTTATCGTTTTCATAGGTAATAATGAAACACAAGATAAGTTTCGTACGGAAGCATGAAAGTGTGTGTAGTATTATAACGCGAGTTAATTATTAATTAATGAATTAGAATTGGTAAAGTTTGTTATATATCGTTCTTTATTTGCGAAAATATCAAAATTGTGTAAAAACGAAAAAAAAGATAGCCGTACTCCGTTGATAATTTTCATTTTTGTCCAGTATATAGGAGATAGTTCCAGCTGGAAGTACAGCTTTCGAGATAAGCGAGAAAATCGAGATATTTAATTGTACGACGCAAGCGTTTATCGCGCATATTGGAGAGTAACTCGGAAAAAAGAGGTACGACTGTAGCCGCAGCTAAAATACCTTACAGACTTGACAAAGTATCCCGAAGTGTCTCGCTTTCTTTTTTTTTTTTCCTTTTTAAAACAACTTCGCAGGAGACACGCGTTTCCGATATTACGTTGACTGTCTGGACGCCTTTTTAGCTCTATCCTTCCCTTCTTTTTGTCCCAATTATCACCTTTTTATATAATACATTACATTCAGTTGCTAATGTCGAACAGTTACATTCCAAAAGTGTAATCGCGAGAACCGCCTTTCCACTTCTTCGACCGAGAGAAACTTTCTTTTTAATCTTTCTTATTCGTGCTCCTCCCAGATTCTTTCTCTCTCCGTGATGTATGTTGCTCCAACGGAGAGTATACTGGACTGCACGACTTTTTTCTTTTTTTATCTTTCATTTCCTTTTTATTTTCATTTTACACGTATATACATACACACACCACGCACCTCTCGACATGCTGCACATGCTGTGAACAATCTCGCGGTACACCGGTTGTTACTTTAACTGATAAATCGCTCGAGCAGCTCGTCGTTGCCTCTCACGCGAATGATACTCTCTCTTTTTCCGAGCTACTTCGACTCCACGCGCGAAAAAAAACTATAATTCAAAAACACAAAAAAAAAAAGAAACAGAGTCAGGTGCTCCATTCGCCTTAAAATGCAACTGAATGCAGTCTCAGCCTGTGCCATGTTGACCGGTTCAAATGGCTAAGTGATAAAGAGTTCGCGAAGACTAGTGCAAATGTACTTGTGGAACAGGACTAAGCGAAAAAAGGAAAGAAGGAGAAAAAAGAAGATTAGGACCATTTAACAGTGTACATAGCGAGTGTGGGATGGCAGCTACGCCAACCTATATCGCACATGTAGAGTATATATAATTACTTAACGTTTCTTTTTTTTTTTCTTCATTCGACGTACACACATACATGAAAACGCGCGGAAATTCGTTGCGGACCGGTCGGGATTGACTTTTGTCTCTTTGATCTGCATCGCGTGAGATTAAGATCAGGCGGTTAACGACGAGTAGACGCAACTCGAGAAAAACGACGAGGAAAGAGAGAAGGACGAGCGAACACGAAACAAAGAGAAAAGAAAAAAAAAATATAAAAAGGGAAAGAAAAAGTGAAAAACTACATTAAAATTACAAACGTCTGTACGTCTCCCTGCCCATCTCCCCTTTACTGTTTTCGTTTAAGAAATTTAAGTTTATGAGAAGAAATAAATATGTTTATTTTCTTTCACATCGATCTGCATCATTATTCATTACAGCGAAGTTTGTTTCGCTCCGAAAGACGTCTCGAGTCTAGCCCAGTTTCGCATAGAGATTTCCTTTAACTTTTAGTACACACGATTAGATCGTTTGTGTTCCGCACATTTCTCTTCGAAAAACTAGCATCAATTATATTATAATTTTCCAAATACTTTCTAAAGATGTCAAACATAAGAATTATATATTTTTTGTGCTATTTTAATATAGATTAACTTTAATCTTTGTTTAACTCTATCTTTTTCTAATTTTAAGAATTAGAAAAGAATAAAGAGTAAGTTAACTCGAAATTAAAGTTTATCTACACAGAAGATAGAAATATTGGATATTTATTAAATTAATAAAAATTAATCCGGACACGAATGATCCATCATGTGTAATGAGGAACCGGAAAATTATCGTATGTACCAAAAGTTAATCTTCTCCCTTTGCCTTGTTTATCCGGTTCCGTCTATTCAATTCGTCGTTAATCGTTCGCGCGATAAAAATGCGAGTCAGCAGCCGATTGTTGCGACTATCTCGGAAAATAGCTACGCACAGCTGGCGGCTTCTCCAGGACGGAACGCAGAGCGAAAAGTAAAAGTACTCCTGACGGTCTCGAGGGAAATCGACCGGACGTACCTCAACGCTGGTCTCGCGCCGCTGTACAATTTGTTACTCGATAACGAAACGATTCTCCTCCCGTATTGTACATACGACGCTGTATGATATAACATTGTATGATTATTACCAACGCTACGGCAGAATTATCCAATTAAGATTACAGTTAATGCTGCTATTATTAGTGAGATAACAAATGAGAGAGCGAGTGAGATTGGGAGATGATTGTACATGTCAAATTGCGGATCTTGTGCGTGCGTGTGAAAGGCTGTGCTGTCCAGCTGCAAAAAAAAACCCTTAACGATGCGAATGTGTGTTTGTTGCCAAAGTTCCCCCTTTTCGCGTGCGTGAAGTACGGTGATATCTGATTGTCGGGTCGTATCGCATCGGCGAGAGCTTCGTCCCGGGGTGGCAAATCAAAAAAACCGTGTGTTCGTCGTCCCTCCGGGGTGGAAGCGGAGCTGGACTATTTCCCTCTTTTCTCTTCTTAGGACCTTCGCGTCGCGGCTGAAGATACACGAAGAGAGAAGAAAATCGCTCGTAATCCCGTCTTCATCCACTTTATTTTGGCTACGGCGACGATCCTGCAGCTTTCAACTTCTTCCCCCCTTTTTTCTTACCGAGAGGAGTACAGAAATTCTTCTCTTTGTATGCGGTGTCACAGAATTATCCGGAGAGGGGCGACTTTCTTCCGAAGCTTCTTTCGTAAAGAGATTAACGTTCCATTAGGATGTTAATATATTAAGACGTCAAAGCCATCCGACCCGCGTCGACCCGGACAAGACAGCGTAATACCACCCGTGCGCTATATTTTTCCGTTGAACGACAGATTGTTAAGGCACTACCGTACGAGAGGAAAAATTGTAGTCGAGCGAAAGAAAACGGGGGGGGGGAAAAAATCCGAAGGGATTTTACGAAGGAAACGAAGAGATATATCACGATTTATTCTCTGGTGACGTACTCAAACACATGTGTATACGTGTGGATTATTATTTTGTTACTAACTTGTCGGATCTACGTCGAAGCTATTATGGACCATGGATGTGAAGGGTCGTTTGGAGTCGTTGCCATGGATTGTGAAAGAATAATGCTGAAATGTGTATGAATGAGAGTGGCAGAAAGAGAGAGAGAGTGTGTGTGTGAGGGAGAAATGAGGGAGTGGATAGAAACATTTTTCGCTAGTCTGCGAAAGAATTCCGATCCTCCCCGGATGTATTTTGAGAGGAAAGCGTGTAGTGTCTGCCATTTGGCCTTTATGCTGTCTTACTTGCGATTTCGTACAAGCTTTGCGTGCAATACTGTGATAAAAGAAAAAAGAATGAGTCGTTCTCTATTTCTCTTCGTCCTTTATCCTTTTTAAAGCGCATGCACGTACAATGTGAGGTCGGCGCACGAAAAAAAAAATATATATATATATATATCGGGATATGATCGCCTGTTTTCAACCCGGTCCCTTAAAGCGAGTCGCAAACATTCGTTTAATTCGCATATAATTTGTTTCCGATACACGCACTTTCGAATTTTGTCTGTTACGAACTCGACAATTAATTCCATCGTGGCCTATCTGATGATTGCTTCTCGCAGTCTTTATCGCGAAACAATTAGTTTAAGATTACATGAGTTAGTACATTTCTATCAACGTGTAGATTAATTCGGTATAATTTACTTTTTCATTTTTTTCTACAGTTCTAAAAGTTATAAAAGAGTAAAGGCTACATTAAATCAAGATTAAAAAAAAACAATTGATAGAAATGAACATTAGAGAATTAACTTTTATCGCATAATTTGTACGGACATCCGGACGCATTAGCTTCGTACTGCCATCGCATTGACACATTTGTTCCTAATTATTGCGTCGCATAAGTTTATATTATTATGTTTGTTATATATAGATATTTGTGAGTAAAGCAGTGTTAGTTATTGAAAGTGTGTCCTGAGATAGCACACTCTCGGTTCCATAGACGGAGGATGATACTTATTGTATATTTGACATTTTACGTAAACTTCCAAAATGACGATAACTAATAATAGTTTCAGCGATCGATGACAAAGAACTCGGCAAATATCGCGTCATTTAACGCATTTAAGGGGAGGCGATTCGAAACAGGCGGTTCTCCTGAGAGGAAAAATATGTCCATTCTATACGCGATTATTTTCCGAAGCTAAGCGATAGATCGCTAGTTTGGCGTATTATTTTGCATTCGCAGAGGCTACGACCTGTGAATAAATGGTTTTTGTTGAAACGATTAATTGTCGGAGTGTGTGAAAAATCCTGACGTCTGCATCTCGATATACTATAATGTAAATAATAACGAATATTGCCGAAAAGAAATATCTGCTTCTCCATCTGTTGCATACCACTTTTTTGGAGATTCTTCAATTTTAGACTAATTGAGAACATGGATTATGTTCGAACATCATCTGAGCGTAAGTACGATTACAACAGAATGAATATTAACAAATATTTTTTTTCATATATATTTTCTTAAAAAAACATAAAATGTGTCATCAGAACGTACTTAGATTTTATGTAAATTTATTTAAAAAATGGCAGAGCTTAAAGGAACTATTATTCACCTTACGAAATTATCTTAATCTACTTTAAATTAACAAGTACATAATATAATATACATATGTATATACGCACATTACATTATAGTACACGTTTACAACTACTGTACCAACTTTCTGTGACTTGTTTATTTTTTGTTCTCAGTCCACACGATTTATATTTGTTAGAACTATCGACCATGCTATACATAATTAGTTCCGAACAAACAATATGTTAAAATAACACTAGGTCTGCTTCGTTTGCAACTGCATTCTTTTTTTATAATTTTCATCTCTTAATATAATATTAAAAAATATATATTTAAAAAAAGAGGAAATAAAAAAAATGTGCAACTGAACAAGTGCAACTAAAAGTTAGAGGTCTAGTATTAGTTAAGTATGATAAAGATTATTACTCCATGCGTTGTTCCTTCTGCTGACGCCCACCGTATCTCCTTTGTAATTCTTCTTCCATCGCCTGCAGTTGTTCTCTACTCTGTTCCTGCGTCATCTGTTCCATTAACTCGTGATTATAAGTGGAATGCAACATCAGAGCTAATACACCGGCTCGCGTCGCCATGTTCGATCGAATCTGCCTCTCTTGCTCCACGAGCTCATCGATTTTCAACCACTGCCTCACTCTCTCCATGTCGATCTCTGCTCGTCGTAGTTTCTCCCACATGTAGTGCTTTACGCAGCTCTTTTTAGGCGCGCGACAGAATTCACCCGTGGCATCGAAGACGTTCGTGACTAATGGACAACCGCATACTTCAGCGTCGCCAATTTTCGGATCCTTACAGTGTTCGGGACAGAGAACACGCAGCCTTTTGCAATAAGTCCTGTTTCCAGGATTGTAGAAGTCGCAGAACATCACCTGGCCCTCGATGCGTGTTTTAAAAATCGAGCCGAAGGACGCTTGCGATTCGTACTGCAAATTACAACCTGAATAAGCACTTTTATTTTGAGAAAAAAAAAAGAGAAATTCATTCTATAGAATAAACTATAAAATTTATTAACTAAAGTGAGACTGGCTCACTAACTAAATGGTAAATATATGTACAATATTTTAAGTTTATGTAAATGCTCCCATTTAGGAACTCGTAAAGCCAAGTAATCGACAATTTCCTGTAATTTGTAATACCTTATTGAAACATTTTTCCATATGTTTAATGGCGGTTCTTGAGTTGACTTCGTGGCCGCACGTTATACAGTACATGCTGCTCTCCGTGTCGTCGTTGTCATCCACTTCGGCTTGTGGATCGATGGACGCATGCTTCGCACGTTCGACAATACGATCTAATTCAATGTGTCTTTTCTCTAATTCTTGCAATATCCTACGGACGTCATGCTGCTGCTTTCTCACGGTTTCCAGAGCGCGTCTGTTATTTTGCTCCGCGATACATGTGGTCAATGACCATTCCTGTATTCGCTGCGGCAGCACCTGATAGATTCTACTTGTCGCCAGCTTCAAACCGCAATCGTCGGAGCAATACTTGCTACCAGGTCGCGATTGTTTCGTGCATGTAGGTCCATAACAATGGCGCGGTGGCTCTAAGTACTCGTTCCTCTCATTACTCGAATCTCTCTTCCGTCTCTTGGTCAATTTCGTTCCCTTATTGAGACTTTTGGACGGTTTTAGCGGATCGCCTACTACACGGCAAGTACGTTGAATACATCTGAGCTTCAATCGTACCGAAGGTCCGAATTTCTTCAGATGTCTATACGTATGAAATCCAAAATGATTAATTTTGTAAGCAAAACTGTTTCGTACAAATAATGAACTTTGTTAATCAGTCTTTTGTTATATTACCTGCAAGCGTCACACTTGCCACAATTTTCTGTACGCAGACATCCTGTACACTCTCCACAGCGTTTGGAGGATTTTTTTTCTACTTTAGGACCCCATGGCGCGTCATATTCGTATCGATGTCCTCTTTCCTTCTCTTTGTATTTTCTATGTTTTCTGTCATCTTGATCTGTCCTACGTGGTTTGTATCGTGTTATCAATGTTGGATCTTCTTCTCTACAACGCTGAATATAATAATTATTTTACATTAAACTGCCTTTTATTGTCATTTTAAAAAATTCGCTTGTATAAAAATCACTTGCTTACAACACAGAAAAATTGTTTTATATGCTTTGCTTCTTTTTCGGTTATGTTTATGCAATCACCATGGTACCATTCTTCACATGCATCACATCCTCTGAAATAATAAAAAAAAATGTAAGATTCACAATCTTGTTTCAAATTAGCAAAATTAGATAAAAATAATTTTAGACATTGATTTCTCTGAATAATTTTACTCACATCATAAAGCGAGAACTGTCGGAGCTTCTACAAATACAATATGCTTGACCGTCCTGTTTCAATAACGTTGCGATTTTGCTTTTCCTCTCTGGCAACATAAACTGCTTCGCTATTTCTTCTTTCTGTATATAATACAAGTTAAAGATCAATCCAAATATTTTTTTTTAGTAAACAAAGAGGTTAGGCGGCATTTCAGATGTTATAAACCAGGACTTATATAAAATAAACAATATACTATTGCAATTTATTTATATGACAATGCTTTCGTTTACAAAACTAACAAAAAAATTGTATTTTATTTAATATTCAGCCGCATATATACATTTTAATTCTCACCGACAAACTGTGTTGTCTTTTATCAGCCATGATGAAGTGAATCCGAAGTAACACACTAACGAAGAAAAATAATTTGTATCGTTTTTATATTAATATTACACTATTTTACTATTAATATTACATACGTTTCACTTATATGTACAATTTATATATACGGAAAAACATTTCACGAGCGTATAAAAAAACAAGCGATCAATCTCATCGCCATGTTGATTAAAAGGTACTGTCGGTTAATATGGCACGGTCGGTATTGCAGAAGAAATTTTGAAATTTTCAAAATGTATTTAAAAAATATAAGAAACAGAAAATTCTAAGAATGATAAACCTGTTATAGACCGTAATCATATTACAGATTGTCGGTTACAGTTGCTGGTTCTATTTTAACCAATGATGCAATTAATGCAGGTTAGCTTTAAAGTGCGTTCACATGCAAGTGTCAGGCATCAAACAATGGAAGCAGCAATCAATCAGCTGGGCGATGCGAGTGGTGTAAAAAATACTTGTACTGTCGTACACTGTAAAAATCACCTCATTGATTGATTGCTGCTTGCAACTTGATGCTTGCACTTTTATGCACCATTCGAATCTAGCATTAAACCTGTAGGTCTTCTCTTTATTTGGGTAGACCTGCATCATGTATAAATATAATATAGAAATTACGTTAGAAATTAAAGTTCAAAAGTTATCTTCGCAGTCGAGAGTCTACTAGACTTTTCCTACATTTGTCAGGATGTACCCAATAATAAAACTTAACGTCTTCAAGCCAGCACGTCTTCAACGTCAAGCACCCAAATTTATATAGCTTAAACTCTTGGTGTCCGTGGAGGATCGTACATTTTTTACATTCTTCAAGGATATTACAAATTTGGATACTTGACGTTGAAGATGTGACAAGATCTGAATTACTTCACAATTATGAAATGTAAAGATTTTATTTTCTCTCATAAAAAGTTAAATGAATTACAAATAATAAAATTTAAACATCGATAAAATTTCTTGCGAAAGTCATGTAGAGAAAAAGAATTTATTTATATTATACATATAAAATATCAAATAGCAGTATAAAATATTAAATGACTTTATCTTTTTTAATTTGAGTTTGAAATAAAAAAATAAAATTGCCAGTGTGAAAAGACTGTCATATGTTTGCAATATCTTATATTTGTTAGAAACTATACAACAACAATTATATCACAGGAATATATTCTAAAGTACAACGTACGCAAGTGACACAGGCTCGCGTAGATTTCATTCTCATAACAAAGATGCGCGAATCAAAAATACTTTAAGAATCACCATAACAGATTCGTATCAAAGATTTCTTTGCGGCACGTTTCTTTTTAAAAAAATTCTCCTATGATCGACATTCGTTGTAGGAATGGTTGAGTTTGACAGGACAAAATCTGATAGTTCTGCCTCGCTGTGACATTGATCGGATAAAGATTCCCACGTCTGATGTTCTCCAGCATTATTTGTGGTTCGAATCTGGCCTTAGCGGGACTCTGTGTAGTGTTCCGTCGTGTCCCACTCTCTGTCGCAAGTCCAGGAGCAGAGTATTGTCCGTTGGACAATATTGGGGGTTCAAAATTATCGGAACCATCGGTACCGTCGCTGTCGTCAGCCTTGTAGATCATCGACGAGGGCGGAAGAACCTGCGTCGTCGACAATCGGATTTCGCTTCGATTCGATTTTTCGGTTTCCTCGTTCCTGGCGTTTTCATGTCCAATGGAATCCGACGAATCCGTTGACGAGACGTTTGACGACGAAACGCTCTCGTTGAAAGCGTCTTTCTTCTCGCTCGCAGAGTAATGCCTGATCTCGGAGAGCTTCGTAATCGTGATTGGCAACACGTCTGGATTTTTGCTAGAGGCATCCGTTTCAGGATAAAGCTCGTTCGGTGAGGCGTTATCCATCAGTGCGTCTCTCATCGGGACGAATCTCCTCAAGATCGATCTCTCTTCCGGGAAGATCCCCTGCGCTGGCCGGCAACAATAGAGAGCACCAGGATCAATTGGATGAGCTTCAGTGTTGAAAATATATCCGCCGGCATCCACCACGCACTGGCCCCATTGAGTGTCGATTATCTCGCCTTCAGAACCAGTATTGTGAATAAAGTTATCGGTGTCGAAAAGAAGGTACAGGTACTTGGTGGTCTCCGCGAGGAAGAAAGATTCCATTCGGTCTGCTTTACGATGGTCCCGGACATCATTGATGGTCGCGTAACCACATGTGGTTTTCGCGCTGTGTTGCAGACTCCTCAGGATGTCCACTCCTACTTGGATCAAATATGGATCCCTGGTTGCCCTGTAAAGATACATGACAGATTCTATAAGCTCTGGCCTCAATGGATAGCCCTCCCTGTTGGTCCCTGCCTCGGCCTGTGGTATATTGTAAAATTCCGGAGTAAATCCAAATTGCTTCCATACGCGATGGTAATTGTGTAAGGATTTCATCGCGTCGCCAATCTCGCCAAAGAGACTTAGCACACCGGGCCAATACGCATCCAGAGATTGAAAGACTGGTAGAGTCACTTGACCCTTGGTCATGGAGACCCACAGATGCCAGTCTTCTCGTCGAATGTATTTCTCTATAGCCTGCTTATGCTCCTGAAATATCGAGGCCAGCAGGGGATCCTGAAAGAGCAGTGTACCCTTTGCCAAGTACTCGAAGTAAGAGTCTATTCCGGCGCCTATGCCGGAATCCTGAGCGGTCCAGTGGCCAGTTAAGACATCTATATGATTACCGACTAGGCCAATGCTGGATTTGTAATAGTGCAGCGCCTTTATAGCATTCATAGCCACCTCCTCGTACAGCGGATCACCAGTCAGTCTGGAGAGAGTGCCGAATTCCAGCAAGAAGGTACCAATGCCAGCGGTACACGTGATACTGGTCTCACCTTCCGGCACTCCGTACTTGAGATTAACCGTGCCGTACGGCATCCCCGTGGGTGTATCGAACGCGGCGATCAACCTCTTGGCCATGTCCTCGGCGAGGCGTAGCAGCGGGCCGTTGCAGGGCCACCCAGGTTCCAACTTGACACCAGCTCTACGTGATAGCAGATGGGCGCTCAGCAACCCGCCGACTACCCGGATATTTGTCTCAAACACCGACACGTTGATATTAGCCTCAAAGTTTGTCCTCGTGCCGATCAGCTCGGCTACGCGACGGAACTCGGAGAAGTTACCCATAACCGCGAGCGTGTCCAGGGCGTCGATCAAGGTTAGGGAGAAGCTGCCCCACGTGTCGAAGCCGTCGCAGCTCAGCGAGCGTAGTTCATCATACGGATAGGCATGCGTTAGGTAGCCGGAGTAGGCATAATCGAACATGGATCGTACCTCCTCCCGCAGGCTGATCAGATCCTTCTTACTGTACTCCCGAAATCCGCTGACCAGGATCAAGAAGCCGAAGATCGAGCCCACTCTGAAGAGGATCATCGCTGTTGTTTAACCGTCCGTGGCCTCTTATCTGTCATCACTGTGCATCGTCGCGTCTTCGACGACGTCAACAATACGCCGAGTCTCTCGTGATGAGGCTCGAGCGCCCCACGTTCGCCACGTAATCAAAATAATCCCGCCGCTGCTCGCTGTAAACATCGCGTTGGTCGCGTTGTTTCGCGCGACGTCGATCTAACCTAACCTACAAATCTGCACCGCGAGCTCGTCCTGCACGTAGAAGAGCTGTACGCGCGCGCACGATCGCGCGCGATGCAAAATCTGATTCTCGTGTCTCGTTACTCCCTTTTCGATTGCAGGAACGAAAGGACGACAAACGTGTGATCGTCGAGCATTGTGCGCGACGTTTGAAACCCTCGAAACTCTCCGTTTGCAACTCCTGATTGACACAGCGTGACATAACCAAAGCGACCGAAACTTGTTAAGACAGAACAGTAGAAAAAAGTCAGAATCATTTATAACTTTAAGAAGTTAGGGAAAATAATCTGAGAATAATAATATTCAGGTTTCAAGTGTCATATAACCTCAAAAAGAGGTTAAAATAGCAAAACCTACTAAGACTAATTTCAAGAACTGTCAAAAGAAGTTTCAAACATTAAAGATAGTACGTCAATTTGCATGCAAAGGAAAGAATAATATAATATGGGAATAGTAAAAAAAAGAATCTAGATGTAAAGGTGTGCGATCATTCTTTATATAAAAAAAAGGACACGTGGAATCACGACGTTCACGAAGACATGGAGCTAGAAACGCTGCTACGGAACCACGCTTCAGCAAAGAAATGTATGTATGTGCCTTTGTCTTTTAAAAACAGCATTTTTTCTAAAACATGATATGCATCTTTTAATGATGAATTCGGTCACTCACACTATATTGAATTAGTACATATTAAAAACTGCTTTATATGAAGAATCTAATGTTTATATTCATACTCTCTCTTTCAGATCTTATATTTAGGGCTTCCTTAAATTTATCTTTAGGTACACAGTGGCCAATAAAATAATTCGTAGAAATAACCATTATAAATAAAAAAAATGCATTATAAATAAAAATAAACAAAACCTTGCTTATTTGTTTCATTGAATATCATGAGACATGCTGTTACAGCTGATGAGAATTCTCAAGAAGATGAAAAGAAGGAAGACAAATACTTTCAGAAGATGTATCAGCAGTGGAAGGGTGTGAAGACTAAGAATGATTCCACTTATAAAGTCATACCAAAATTCTATTTCAAGGTATTATTTATATTCTGTAGATTTGAACTTTGAAGTATATTTCTGTTATATGTTATGAAAAATACTGTTTTAGTTGCCAAAAGAAGATGAGATTCTACCACAAAAATTACGCGAGGAAACACGCGCCTTATTCCTGCAAAGACGTTCTAGACAGTTGCTCGATAATCACGAATTGAAAGCACTCTGGGTTTTGTTGGACAAACATCACAGTCCGCCTTTGTCAGGAGACGAGCAATTAATTAATTATGAGGACTTTAAGAAAGTAGGCAAACTGGCAGGAGCAAAGTGCAGTCCGTATTTTACTGCAGTTGTTTTTGCTAAATTACAACAAGGAGATCTACATGGTAGAATTAGCATAATGGCATTATTCAATTACGTTATGCGTAAAGTTTGGTTACATCAAACAAGAATTGGACTATCTTTATATGATATTACAGGACAGGGTTATCTCAGAGAATCGGTGAGTCTATAATCTAAAATGTTTTATTATTTGCGCGTAGCATACTATATTTTTATTTCAGATAAGAGAAATGTGCTCTTTGATACAAAATTGTTACAAAAAAGAATCAACTTTTTATAGAGATTTCTACAGCGAATATTAAAATAATAAAATCAAAATATTTCATTCCTCAGTTGTAAAAATACATTGAAAAAAAAAATTAATGATACAGTATATGAAATCACAAAGAAAATGCTAAACAAAATTGTTACAGATTAAAGCTTTAAATTTTTTCCTGAATAAAGAAAACAGCATTTATTTTTTAATTCTCTAAATATCTCAGATTAGATTTTTATAAGTGAAACCTTAACGAATACATCTTAATAATACATTCTTTTAATATTCACTTATTTTCAGGATTTGGAAAATTATATCTTAGAACTGATACCAACATTGCCACAACTTGAAGGCTTGGAAAAGTCCTTCCACTCGTTTTACGTGTGTACAGCCGTCAGGAAATTCTTGTTCTTCTTAGACCCGCTTCGAACCGGAAGAGTTCGTATTCAGGATATTTTAGCGTGTAGCTTTTTGGACGATCTTCTAGAATTGAGAGACGAGGATTTGCCGAAAGATTTGCAAGAAGCCAATTGGTTCTCTGCGCCTTCGGCCCTTAAAGTTTACGGGCAATATCTTAATTTGGACAGAGATCACAATGGAATGTTGAATAAAGAAGAACTCGCTGGGTAATAAATTTCAAAATGTCATGTAATGTTATATTAATACATACATATTAAAGATATAATTGTTTTGTTAACAGATATGGCACTGGTACTCTAACCGGTGTTTTTCTCGAACGAGTATTTCAAGAATGTCTCACCTATGAAGGCGAGATGGATTATAAGACGTATTTGGATTTCGTTTTAGCATTAGAGAATCGGCACGAACCTCAGAGTCTTCATTACCTCTTTCGAATTCTCGACATTAACAATCGTGGTTACTTGGATACTTTTTGTCTGAATTATTTTTTTAGAGTATGTTACTGTAATATAAATTTTTTTACAGTTTCTGAATTCGGACAAAGTGAAAAACGTTAAAATATCACTTTCTAGGCAATACAAGAACAAATGACGATGCATGGTCAAGAGCCTGTTAGTTTTGAAGATGTTAAAGATGAGATATTCGATATGGTAAAGCCAGCAGATCCGTGTAAAATTACGCTGCAGGACTTACTATCTTGGTAAGGAGATATTAAATATATTATGTGTGTGCTGTGAAAATGCGGTATATTGAAACTAAAATGTTCTAATTACAAAAGCGGACAAGGCGACACGATGGTCAGTATCTTGATCGAATTCCACGGCTTTTGGGCATACGAAAATCGCGAAGCTATGGCGGCTGATACCGGAGATGAGTCGTCCCATGTATGACGAAGCACTTCCCATCCAAGAATACGAGATAAACGTCCCGAGATAAATAATGCACGACTGGACATTAACACTTAATGTGTTTAACACGATATTGTGATGATACGCATTTTGTAGTAACAAAATTTTTATACTTTATTATATGCCAGAACATGGCAATCACCGTCACATGTAACATTTAGAATTAATATATTCTATATTTATTTTTAATATTTCTTAATTAATTTCTAAACAAAACAATAAATTGCTCCCTTTTGTTTAGCAATATATAGAAATATTTGAAACAGTTACGAATAAAACTATAAGGATGTAGACATGCTTAAAGTATATATATTTTCTTACAATATGATTAATGTTTTGATTTCATAGTGTCTTTTTTTAAAATCCAAATAAAATCTAAATCGTACATAGAAATAATTTAATGATACATACAGTCGCTCTTAGCAAACTATCATCAAGAGAGACCAAAATAGATAGACTGATCTTTATATTTCATCTTTGTGCGGATGGTCTTATTAAATATCTTCAAAAAATCTCAAAACTTTCGTCGTCAAACAATAAAATAAAATTGATAAGAGATTCATCATCATTAATCAGTGAATCGATAATACATCTAAATTGAAGTAGTTTTCAGATACCATTATTACGAATAAATAGCCACATCTCAATCTGATTAAAATTTTTTTGGTTTCGAGAAATTTCGGGAGAAATTTCTATGGACCAATCACATGATTTTAAATCGTGTGGTTAGGGTGCTCTTTTATTTGTTTCTGCCATACAACAATAAATGTACAGGATGGAGAGGTTCTCGGATGTCTTTATCTTGTAAGCTAATCAGACTTGTCAACAAAAAACGCACAAATGAAATAGCGGCCCTATACAGGGTAGGGTCAATGGAATCGCACAGTCGTATCAGTAGCGTAGTATTAAATTGAAGTAATCTAAAGAGTCCCACCTTAAGAATCTAATGTTTTTTTCTTTCTAAAAAAAAGTTTAGAACTTTAGTCCCTGAAAGTTTCAATTAGTATTCTCTCCAGAAGCATATACATCCTTCGCGTACTTTTTCTCCATCATTTTATTCCCTGAAAAAGGTTTGGAGCATGAAACATATATTTTCAATATTTTATTATTTCGACATTTGCAAAAATTCAATTAACGACTTTGCGTCTGCCTACAACAAATTCACTTTTTTCTTTTCAAAATGGCTTTATTATTTATCAAAAAGCGTTGTGTATTTTATTTGTAAAAAAAAAAAAAGTTTTTATTATACAACCTAAATATAAATTTCTTTGTTAACCGGCTGAACGTTTATACAAATTGAAACGTGTAATTTTTTACTTTAATTTTTCTTTAAAAATTTCCCTTTTTATTTATATAAAAGTAAAAAGAAGGACATTTTAATTACTTTATTAACGGGCGGGGAGAAATTCGTGGCTACGTCACTGCGACGCAGCGTCTATCGCGTCTTTTTCGCGTCTCTCTTCACATCATTCGCGACAGTTCACGATACAATAGTGTACAGTATGGAGCTTGGGTCAGCTTGGATCTGGCTACATTCGTAATTTGATCTCGACTCACACGAAACAAGCAAGGTTTGTTATCGTTACACTAGTTTCAAGGACACTCTTCGATAGTCATATCTAATGTTTAGTTCATTCTGCAGTCAGCCTTCTCATATCCCTGATAAAATTGATAAGGAACGATAGAAAAATTCCTATTGTTTTGAATATGGAATCTGATTCGTGAATTTATTAATTTGAATCAGATCTTATACTATTGTTTGCGAAGTGAAAGGCCGCGTTTGGCGCGCATTTTTCGATGCATGTTTTACGCGTTTGCGTGATACCAGCCGCGAATCCGCGAGAGATCGAGGTGGTGGAATCAGTAAGTAAACTGTCATTCCGCCCACTCCTCTATATACTCCATTGCTTCCCTACGACTCCCTACTCCCTGTAATCTGCTGTAGTTCCTGGAACCCCCACGTCGTGGTCTGGTACTTCTCCTTTCCTCACTGCGTCGTCAACCAAGCTCCCCACTTCCCGTAGTTCCTCGTCAGTATGGCGCCCGTGTTTAAATTCAACGGTTAGAAATAAAGGCTACTTCCGTTGTGTTGCAGAGCGTAAGGATCGTTCCGATCTTCGTTCGGTGTCTTTCTAAGAATTTTTACCATTTACATCAGTGGTGGCGATTGCATAACGGAATTTGGAGCGAGAGCTGACAAGCTTTGGACACATAATCACGCCAAGAAACAATGGAGCCCTTCGTCCAGGTGAGGATCCTTCCTTTTTATTTGTCTTCTTGCTAAGATAGATGCCTCACGATAGGAGGCTAGCATGTACTATGACGTAGTTATGATTGTATTTCACGGATTGTATTTCACGATTTGTACCTACGTGTAAATTCTCTTTTATTGCGCATTATTTATTAATTAATGAAAATTTTGAGGTATTATTTTTGAGAAGCATAACTATGGTGACCATATGTCCTTTATTTTGGATTGCTGTCTTTTAGATTTATTTGTTTCTTCAAAACTCAATTTTATCCTTATTTTCTAATTTTGTCCTTTATCGTCCTTTATTTTGACATTACGGAAAATTCTTTTCTAAGTGTAAAATTCAACTTAAAGTTGAAACATTTGAAGTTTGCATTTACACGCAATTTTGAAATGAATTATTTATAAATTTGTGATTTTTTTTTTTAAATAATGACGTAATTTAACATACATTCGTCAGAAAAGTCATTAAAAGCCTTCTTTAATATTATTTTATTAAAAAATAATATATAATACATAAATATATATAATACATAAATATAATATAATAAAAATATGTTATAAAGTGTATAATATATAAGTACAATTTGTTTTTGTTAATTATATTTCTCAATTTTTTAAATTAAATTTATTCAAACTAGTTTTTATTTTGAACTTTTTATCATTTCAGATTAAGGATTTGTTCCAATACAGTCGAATCGATTATATTGTGCAATATAATTTTTATAGCACAGGTTCTTGACAGTCACAAATTGGTTTGAAAACATGTAGGAACAAAGCTTTAAAATTTTCGGATTTGTCCTTTATTTTCTTTAAGAAAATATGGTCACCGTAGGCATGATATTAATCATTCAGATTATTGTTATTATTAAATCTATAATATATATGTAAATCTATAATATATATATAAATATTCTGACTGTAGATTATGATACAAATGTTTTTTGTAATATAAATTATTTTTTTGTGATATTATAATCTAACACATATTGATTATTGACAAATAGCGTATGTTGGAACGAGCTAAAGCCAGGAGAGAGAAACTGGATGAAAAGTTGTCAAATGCAGGACATAATGTCAAAAAAAGGCGGAGCCCTTTGAAAAATGCTTTGTTAGAACAAGCTACAGGTAATATTTCCAAGATTTATTTTGTAGCGTTTATATATGAAATTTTAATAGTTAGTTAAAAATATATTTGAAATAAATTAATAAGATAAAATCTGTTAGCTTCTTGTTTGTTAAAAGAAATATCTTATTTAGCAGTAGCAAATGAAAATTCAGCTAAATCACCAATACAAGCAGTTGCAGTTAATGCACTTTCTCCTACCAAATCTCCTCGTAAATCTCCTATAAGTAACATCGCTTCACCGAATAATGAACAAGAAAACAAGGAGAATAATGATTTTCAAATTCATAATATGCGATCCAAGTTACACAGACTTGGAAAATTATATTCTGGTAAGCAGCATTTCAAAATAAGGTTGAACATTGTACTGAACTTCAAGTTAAAGTCCTAACTCTTTTGCATGAATAGTATAAGCTTAAATATACTTCGAATCTCTCCGTTCGGTTACTCCCACACGATTCATACAGAGCACTCCCATATAAGCTATTTCAAAACTTGTTTCTAACACTTGTACATGAGTATGTTTATGTCTGAATACACACAGCATGTATATAACATACATGATTATGATTTTTCGTTATATGTTTCCAACTTTTTTGAAGAATTATATTATTAGTTTACATTAACAAATTTTATTATATTAAATTTTTTTATACTAAATTAATATAAAAATTTTTTTAAAAAATTTATTGATTATATAAATTAATGTTTATTGATGTTTGTGTAGATAAATAAATTATTTTTAATATTTATATTTATGGATAACAAAAAGAATTAATATTTTTTCCTTTGACAGATGATAACAATCACGAATTAAGTTCACCTATACATCGAACAGAAGAAAAATTCACTGCAGAAGAAAGTAGTGACGATGGTAAACCAGTTAAGAGAGGTGCTAGACTTAATAGATTAGCAGCTTTAGCTTCAACAATTAATAATTGGGAGGATGATTTATCTCATCCAATCATAACTAGTTCCAAGGTATTTTGTAATACTTGGCTTACAAGTTTTTTTCTTTTTCTTACGTTGGGCCTCTGGGTTGTGTTACATCTCTCTCATATGCTTGTGGTGCACGCTGATTATTCAATTGCATATGGGACATACAGTTTTAATCTGATTCTAAACGGTGGATTTTTCGCGAAGTATTTTTGTGGGCAAGGATACTCTCGGGAGGTTATCAGCCTTTTCCGAGAGGAGACACGAGCGTAAATATCTTCCTACCAGGATTGAACCTGAGACCTCTGACGTGATAGATCTGTCTACCATGTCACGCTCGCGCTCACAATTTTTTTATTTTAATAAAATGATGTATTAAGTAATTTGCATATCCTTTAATTTGCATTATAATATACAAATTATTTTATAGATTAAACCTGGAAATAGTAAAGCAGAAAAAATACAAGCAAAGTTTAACGAACAAGTTAAAAATGGATCAGAATCACAACCAAGCACAAGTGAAAGTAACAAATGGAAGAGCAAAGATTCAAGTCCTATCAAACAATTCAAATGGGATAAAAATGTATTAGAAAACTTGGTAAAAAACATATTATAATTTTATTCTTAAAAATGAAATGACTAAAGCTTCGTAAAAATTTCTATATTTATATACATATTTGTATTAAATATGTAAAGTGCGTTAATTTTTTATATTTTTATATTTTCATTTTCTATTGTTTTTATATCTTTGAAAGAAGAGAAGTAATGATTGAACGATCACATTTGGATAGTTAAAAATATTTACAGGAGGCTCAAGGCTTTAGTCGTACAAAAAGCAATTCTCGTCTTGTGTATGACTATAAGCATTGTTCTCAGAAATCAAACACTGTCACAAGTTTATCGCCTAATAAGAGCTCTGCTTACCAGCAGGCAGAGAAGAAACAAATTTTGCCTATTAAGTCTGACGGTTCACCAAGAGGCAAGAAAACGGAAAGTGATGCCAATGTGATTGCAAGTCCAGCTAATTCTTCTAGAAGCAACGATAGTAAAGTTTCTAATACTCCTGAAAATATTAAAAATGCGAATACTACTAGCAGTTCTCGATTACCGTCGAGAACAGGATTTAACGGTTCGCCAAAGACTTTGGTCCAACCATCAGGTTCGGTGTTGAGTAAGGCATCGATATTTGAAGCTAAGAACACGGAGACGAAGGCGAAAGATCCCGCTCAAATGTCGCTTGCCGAAAGAATGGCATTTTTCGAGCGAAATAAGGGAGAAGCATTAATACCTAAAGCACCGCTTACAATGTCGATACCGCCTAAGAAGTTACAAGAAAAAGATAAGCAAGGATCTAATACGGGTATATATAGTTTTTAATTAAAAAATATTTGTCCTCATTTATACGATTTAGAATATCTAACAATAATAATAATCAGGATTTTTATATTTCTTTAATTTTCAAAAAAAAATAGTATTTGATTAAATTTTACATAACAGCTTATTAATTTCCCTTTAAAATAATTTATTATTTTTTTAAATTCAGCCCATACACTTCCAGTATTTACCCAAAATGAACTCAATATCTCATAATAGGAACTTTTCCTTTAATAATATTTCATTCTTTAGATTCATCTTCAATGTACAATCGAAACGTCGATATTCCGAGCAGAACAGTTGTGGAGCAACGTGCGATGTTCGAACAAGGCAACAAAGTAGAAGAGATGGAAAATCGCATCTTACAAGCTACTTTTGCTGAGAGACAACGCGAATTAGGCATGTTACGTTCCCGATTTAATACTAATAAGGAAGTAGCTCGTGCTGCCGCTGGCTCTTGCATTCGAACGAGCGAAAGTAGCGAAGGCAAATCATCGTCGCCAAAGAATTCGCCTGTTTGTCCAGTGAAGCCGACTCCTGCTCCGGTAAGATTAAGTTATTTTATGCGTAAAAGAGTAGCACAAAATTTTTACTGTGTGATATAATGAATTGTATATTTTATTTATTAAATATAGGATCAGATTGTTCAGCCGCCGCCACCGCCACCATTACCAGAAATTATATCGTATCATTCTAAATCTTCTCCAGTAAAAAGACAAGGTAAAAATAAAAAGAACATTTTTCTTTCACTTCGCTTTTTCTGTTGTAATACTTAAAATTACGAGTTTTCTTTTTAGTTGTTGGAAGCCCACCCAAAGTTCAACATTTAAATGCAACATCCGACATTAAACGTATTCGCGTGTGTCCACCAAAACCAGGATCTCTGTATCCTAATCTGTCGGAAATAGAAATTACTGAAAGCGAGAGTGACTCGGAATACACTGTCGATAGTACCGAACCTGTAACAGCTACTCTCGACGAGAAAACAGAAACGGAAACCGAGACGGAAACTGAAGCCGATTATTATATCCGAGTAATATAAAAATAAATAATAAAAATTAAAAAATTTTTACATTTAATATATTAAAAACAAAAACCAAAAAATTTTCACATTAATATATGCGAAATATTTTATATATTCTTCACTTCTTTACAGCATGATGAAACTGATCAAGAAAGTGATAAGGAAAGCATACAAAATTCATCTTTCGGGCGTATGAGTTTTGGACGCAGTATTTTGCATGAGTTCGATGAACGTTCGTTGTTTAACAAAAAGGTATAAAGATATAAAAACTTAATCTTAACGCAGTATACATATTATTAAATACACATCAGATATACTTATGTGTTTTTTTAATATTACAATTACAGAGATGCATAGAACCGGATCCTGATAGTATTACGTCAGACATTTCGGTACTAGATGAAATGGATCAATATTTGGATGAGTGTCTTGAAGACATTTATCCAAATATTGATCCAATTCATCAAGAATTAAATAATGACATGAAGGAGGAAGGTCCCACACCTCCTAAAATAAATAAAGGCGGTGAAAGTTCATCGATGGGGTGTAATAGTTACAAGTACAGTCATTCGTACACGATTTTTATTGAAAATATGTTTCTTGCTCCTTCATTTATTTTTTAAAAATTGTTTAAATGAAATTGTTCTTAATTTCACAGATATCGTTCGCCTTTAAAAGATTCGGATAAACTAGGAGATGGTGACAAGCGCGTACCATTAGTACGTACGGTTAGTGCGTATAGACGACAACAATCTCAAGTAAGTTGTTCAATATCATAATTGATGTAAACAAAGAATAATAACATGATTATTATTTATGAATTTCAGTTGGCTAAAATTAATTCAGCAAGACACGAAACAGGATCAGATTCAGTTTTTGATATAGAGAAACGCGAAGATGAATCCATATTGGTGCAAATGAAAGTAAAAAAGTTATTGGACGAAGTTGTTGTAACACAACAAAAAAAGATAGAAGAAGCTAGCAAAGCATTGAATTTATGTCATTCTACTGTCGAATTTAATGGTTCTAGTGAGCACGTCGGAGGCGAATGGGCTCTGCTTGTCGCTAGTAAATTTTTCTTTTTATATGATATGAGTTTTTTACATATAAATTAGATAATAATAAAATTGAACATTAATTTTAACGTATATAAAATTTAAATATTGCTAAATGTGAAAAATGTGCCTATTTTTTTACTAAGCTCACAAACGCCAAGCTGCATTGAATGAAGTACAGAGGTTGAAACGAGAAGGCACTCTGAGACCTGTTAAGGCAGGCTCGCCGGAAGTGCAGGGGAGTGGATCATTAACTATTTCTGCTATTACGTTACCGCTCAAGCAAGAATATTTCCGAAATATGGGCATGAGTAAGTGATTATATATAATCAACTTTTACGTTATTTTTTTTTATATAAAACGAAACTATTGAAATAAATATTAAACATAATAATCTTGCAATTTGTTGCAGATACATATCTTCATTGTGTCTGCTTGATGTATTATTTAGGGGAAGTTTTCGCTACTCAAGCAGCAACTGCTTAACCAGGCTATTCATGCATCCGTTTTACTTCAATGTTAAAACTTGATAATTTGCACAGTGATTTCAAGATTCTTGTTGAAGTATATACCTTTCAGACGCAACCAAAATATTTGCCACATGAAAAAAAATATCATATCAGTCATACTGTAAAAGTAAGTCAAAGCAAGATCCTTCCTTCTCTTTATAAAATATATTATAAATACACAAGAACGGTTTAATGTTGAATCCATTTGCAGGCGGTCAATAAGACACCAAAGAAAAAGAATCAGTTTATAATGCCAGAAATACAGAGTCCAGCAGGTCCAAATGCAATCAGATCACCAGCTTTTGAATTGTCGGGGACAACATCTCTCACTCTCGATGATATAAATCGCGATCAACTTACTTTGTTCGGCGTACGTATATATATTAATTCTTCAGTATAATCAAGATTCGTAATGTCAATATGTGTATAATCTTCGCATACTTAATGTGCACTTTCCGTTCAGATCTCATCACATTCTCCATTAGAAGGATACCTGCGAATGCGTATATCGCGTAAACTCTCAGTGTCAGTGGAGCATCGTGGATTTTTGACGCTCTTTGAGGAGATTACAAATTTAGGTGCTTGGCGTCGAAGATGGTGTTGGCTTAAAGACGCTAAGCTTTATTATTGGGTACATCCTGAGGACGAACACAAGAAAAGTCCAATAGGACATCTCGACTTGGAGGGTAATTTTTGAACTTTCGACTAACATAATTTCTGCATTGTATCTATATTGATTATTATTGATTTAATTTTTTGTGATATTGCAGATGTTATTACAAAGCACGTACAATTTATAAATCGAGAGAAATATGCTCGTCCTTACACATTTCTACTCGAGATATCGAGACCTGTACAACCTGGAGATACTAATACTCTCGTTATGAAGACAGATGGAAAGGAAACTATAATTGAGTATGTATAGTTGTCTTCTAGTTCTATTGCAATACAAAATTGTGCTCTTGAGTTAGAATATAATTTTTTTTAATCCTGTGTTCATAGACACTTTTTATTAGCTGATACGAGAGAAAAAGGATTGGAATGGATGTCTAAATTGAATAAAACTCTAAGTTTAATTAGAGCTTGGGGAAGTTCAATTTACAAAGCTTAAATCAAGATTAAACTTTAATTTCGAGCAACGTATTCATGTACGTATAGATCGATTTTTGATAGCAGACATGCATATGCATTCATATATGATGCATCGCTCATCGAAAGGTAGAATAAAATACTTTGTTTATAATACTTTACAAGAACAAGAAAAATATAGAGAAAGTAGCGAATATATACTACTTTTGGTCGCTTAAAAATTTTCATGTATGATATTATTTGTGCTGCAAATAACTAATTGTTTTAATATAAATAGTCGAATGAATCGATTTGATTTTTAATCGTGGACACACAATCTATACAAGGTTTCATTAAACTTTGATAGTTATTTTATTAAAAATCAGAATTTCAAAGCAAGCTTTCATGAAGTCTATCCATTTAATACTGAAACATTTAATGTATATGTATATATACATGAGTATTATGTATTAAATTTTCAATGCATTTTCTCATATCTTTTGAAACTGTAAAATTTATTTACACTTCAGAAAAAAATCTCTCATTGCACTGAAAGGACTTTCATCTTTATTGTAATCGTATTTCAGTATTATTCAATCGTTTAATTGCATAATTATATCACCTGCAACATGACGATTAACTTCTTGAACACTTGATCACGTATATTTATCAAATAGCTACATAAATTTCAACATTCGACATTATTTCGATATAATACACATTAAAGAAATTGTACATAGGCTAATCATAGGAAATTAGTTATTAGTATTTACTGATGTAATTAAGAAATATTTATGTATGTAAAATTACTTATATACGCGCTTATATATTAATATTAGCAATAGTATATACTAATAATATTATTATATTAGCAAATATATATGTATTAATTAGCAATAATATAATACTAATGTATACAATCTGACTAATAATTACATCGAATATTACATCGAACTTAATACACTGATATTTTTTTTAATGTGAGTTACTCTGAGTATGCACATATACAACTAACATTCTTCATCTTTTTGTAATGAATTAAATATATTTTTTTTATACCGTAAAAATCTATTCTTGTTTTTATCCTAAAATTTGTTGTAAACGATCTATACTTTCAGAGAGAAATCTGAGAGTGGCCTTTTTCGTATATCAAATTCCGGCCTTTTTCGTTCGGATTGTATCAAATCCCGACTTTTTTTGTGTACCAAACCTCGTAGGATTCACGTTTTTATGGTTCTTTTCCATGTTATTACGTGAGGCAAGGATGAACAATCAAAATTGTTTATTCGTCCTTGTCTAATCCACGTAATAGTGTGGAAAAGAACTATAAAAAAAATCGTGGACATTATCCTACGAGATTTGATACACGAAAAAGACCGGGATGTCTACTCAGGTTTCTCTACTTCACATTTCTCATATTACCATACTTTCTTTATTACATAAAATAAAAAAAATATATTTAATCCAGTATATTTAATTAGAAAAAAACAAACTATCTTTTTTTATTCGTAATACCGAATCGAATTATAAAAAAAGGCTTTGTAGAACAAAGTTTATATAGGAAGAGTTTATATCGATAGATCAGTTATAATACTGCTCTCTCAGTATTTTCTACATAGGTTCTATAAGAACCTTATATCTATAAAGCCTTTATAGCACAGAATGGAAAAGATTTTATTCTTCTTACGTTAAGCCTCTAGCCTGTGTTACACCTCTCTCATATGCTGTGGTGCACACGCTGATTAATTTTCAATTACCACAAGCATTTGGGACCTACTTTTAATGCCGGTGGATTTTTCGAGAAGTGTTTCTCTGAGTAAGAATATTCTCGGAAAGTTGCCGGCCTTTTTCCGAGAAGAGACACGAGAGTAAATATTTTGATTTCTACTGGAATCGAACCAGGATCTGATAGACCAGAGCGCTGTCTACCATGACATAAAAAGTCATAAATGTAAATTTCTATCTTGAAATTTGGATGCGAACGATAGATTGGTTTAAAAGACTTTATTAATTGTATAGAAAGTACGCGACATGGTAAACAGTTACAGGGAGGTTTCAGTATGTATACAAGTTTATTTGAACAAATTATTTTCTGTTATGGATATAATATACATATATAGATTACGCGTATAAAAAAGAAAGAGGTTGCGCCAGGGAGAAACCGCAGATATCGCGATGTCTCAATGAGTGCTGCATTGTCGCCACGCTATAAAGATAGAATTGCAAACAGAGGACGTCTCTCGTTCAAAATGTTTACTAGCAATTTCGAGAAACTGTATAATACATGTTGCCGATTGCAAGTAAGCACGTGTTTCACTCGTGAAAGACTTCAATGCGTTTTGTAAGTCATTAGATGTTATGCGATATTCGTAAATATTTTTTACGTTAATTGTAAGAGAAAATCGAAGAGAAAAAGAAATATTGAGCGAAATAATTTTGTTAATTCTACTCGTAATTTTATTTATACTATTTGCCGACTGTTCAAAGAATTACTCTTGGTTTTCGACCGAAGACGATGCAAAAGTGTTAATAAATTAGACCAATTGCGCGATCATTGTCGATTTTAAGAATTGCATTTCTCTCGCTTTGTAAAATATCACAATTAATATCACAAAACGCATCGGTTAGAAAAGAACGAAGATCGATCGTTTTCTAACTAGCGACTGACATCAACTCTTTGCCATTCGCATCGATGTGAATCGCGTGCCTTGCAGTGTCATACGATTAGAAATATCCTAATTCGTGTGTAATTACACGAGCGTGTATGTCGACGACCTAAGATGATGTAACTTCGGTCCTCGAGTCCGCTTACTTTGCGACGAGATTGATAGTCGGATGGAATCCGTTTTCATCTGCGGTATAATCAACCCTGCAATTACAGAGAGGGTGTTCAAAGAGCTACAACGTTCCTGAACGATACAAACATTCAATATAAAGACATTACTTTCGAATTTGTAATCATTTTTGCAATCCTAAAGGCCACTTTAGACGATCTGTAATTCGTGTCAGGGTTCAGGATAGAATTCAATTTGTACTCGTAATTCTATGTGCCATGCAATACGAAAGACACTTGATGAAATCGTAACCCACACATAGAATCTCCACAAAAATTTAATAATTAACTTAATTATTAAAAACTTAAATAATCTGTATAATTCAAATTCATATCTTATATTTTTTTACAACCTTTGTCTGCAAATATATTTATTTATTTGCAAATAAACACGGCAAAAAGTTGTAAGAATGTAATAGTGTATATGAATTTGAATTATATAGATTAAGTTTTTAATAATTAAATGTTAAATTTTTTATGGATTCTAGAGTGATTTAAATGTATAGAATCAAGTATATAAAATAGATCTAGACATTTTGAAAGAATCTGTTTTAGAAGAATCAGAATATACACTTACACATGCAAGAAAGAATATAAAAATACATTTAAAAAAAAGGATATAAATTACAAATAGAATCCTATCCAATTATAGATCGCCTAAGGTGGTTTTTTTGATATCGCGTACCTATACGTGTGTCCGTCCGGCGCGATGAAACTGAAGCTACCAACGACGCTGAGAGACTCGTTTTCGGTGCCCTCGTTCTTCAGCTCCGCCGTCTCCTCCCTCTTCTGACCGTCGCTCTGCTCATAACTGAAGTGGTACCCACCTACCCCTATATTGTTCACCTCCTCCTGGTTCACGATTGTGATATCGTTCGGATTAGATTGCGGCGCCGCGAGAACGCCGGCTATGAGTGCCAGAATGACGAACACCTGCGTGACGAAGAGAAGCAAGAAGATCATTTCGTTGAAGAAGACAAGAACGAGATCGTTCTTCTTTATGGCGTTGAGTTCTATTAAATTAATCAGGTGTCTTTTATTGTGACCATGCATATTTAAATTTCTTTCATCGCAAGATATCCCTTATAGAAATTTATATTGAAAGATAGTGATTTGAATTACTTATTTTGAGGATTAAAAGTTGTCGTTCAATATGATTGTTCAATACTTTTGATATTCAATATAAATAATTTCTAGTCTTAAATTGGCCAGTATTAGATTGGATTTCTTTAAGTAATGTTAGGGTAAACATTTTATTTAAATGAATTATTGATAATGGATCTCTGCGAGGAACATGCGGTGGCTGTGTTGGAAATTCGGTCTTTCCTCGGAACCTGACCTTTCGACGATCAGTATTAGATTATTACGAATTTAAATCGAATTTATATCGTTCGCACAGCAAACTGAAAAAACAATGGGTTGACTTCTTCGGATACAAAGTGTCGCAGATCTCAATAATTTCAATTACCTAAAAATAATTGTTCATTAAATGATCAATAATTTCGATCACATAAAAACGATTACTTATTGAATGATTGAATCATCCTGAGTTTTTTCGAGTTGTGTAATATCATAAAATAAAAGTTTCTCGTGAACTGATGGAATAAGTAAACGTAAATTCTACAGATCACTTAAAACTTGAAATTTTAGAATCTCAATTTGAGATCTGTTTAATTAATACTTGAATATTAAAAATTTGTTGTCAGATTCTCCTGAAAAAAAGACATGTACTCCGGATTGATCATTGAAATTGTAGCCTTTCCGCGACACCCTGTAGATGTTCTCCGTGGCGAATGGAGAGTATAATTTCACGCGCGCACAAATGTCACAAAATCCTCTTCACTTTCACTGTTACGCAAAAATTGGATGGCTGAGTCCATTTCGGAAGACCCAGCTCGAAAATATCGGCGGTAACCCTCACGATTCGGTCCCGCCTATCGTCCCTCCCCGAAAAGTCTAAAGAAGAGTCCCACGATCGCTTTTCTTTTGACAGATCTTAATGTATCTCGAATATGTATTTCTATATCTCTTCTAGGATCGCCACCCACCGTCTTCATCGCGCCAGGTTTTCTTTCGTGGTCGAACGATCTGCGAACGATCCCGAAGACGGCCCTTCGTCCTTAAACGACGACCGATACGTAGATACCGGGAATCCTTCGGTGCATCTGCCTTTATATAAGCAGAAAATCGCGGTGCTGTATTGCACATCCCCCCACCTGCTTGTGCAGCAGCAGCAACAGCCCCCAACGGATTCGCGGATGAGTCTCTCCCGCAAATGCAGGATGTATCTGTGATTTGATGACGCGGTCGCCGTTAGATGTTGCCCGTTTGTGAGTTATATTTTATTTTTCATCACTGCGAACGCACGCCGTGATTTAAATTTGCTAATTGAATCACTTGGTTTTATGAAGAACTTTACTGCTAAATATATTAAAAATTTGAAAAAAATTCATATTTTCGAAAAACAAGATTTTAGAAACATCTTTCCTAAAATAATGAATGATTGCTTTTCTTATCCTTATTATAGGTTCTTCATACAACTCATCAATTATTTATCTTTATCAATTATCCTCATCAATTATTTATCCATCAATTATTAAATCTATTAGAAATTAATATAAGTATGTCAGAACAATTTTCTATAAATTCGATACAAGATATTATTATGTACATACATTCTATACTTTAGATAGGAATGTAATCAAAAAGTCTTATATTGAAATTACAAAGTTTATATAATTTATAGTTATAAATGAAACCTAACAAATTATTTTAGACAATCATAGAAGTATAGACTCTAATAATAATCAATAATAGTTGAAAAGCCTGTTGAGAACCGACGCTAGTTGTAGTTGCGAATTATAATTTTATTATTTTTCAATCCCCACATATAATAAAATAAATAAAATAGACGTTTCGACCCACATTTTGTGTCC